TAAGTGTAATTGTAACGGTGTAAAAGTTATAGGTATTATAGGTTATAGGTACTATTAGGTTAGGTATTATATACCTACCCAAAAATTCGTTTGCGGCGACGAAAACCTAGATGGGTGGCTCTGCTTGCGAGGCTTGTGGCCCATGACTGTACTGAGAAATTGAGCCGTGGGAACGCATCAGGCTCGTGCCAAAAGATTGTCTAGGAAGCGAACACACACTCACCATTGCTACGGTGCGTCTATGATACCAACACGAACCACGAGCCTAACCATGCATTGTGGGAAGCCGACTTTAGAAAAACAGCTATACATGCACGCAGACGTCAAGTAACCTTTGTAAATCTTGGGACCTGGCTGAAACCATAATTTTATTTTCTCAGGTTACCGAAATCGAAATCACGGTAAGTACCGATTTCTAATTATCTGGTGGTATCTATATAGATTTTTTTCGGTTATATAATATAAGTTATTTAATGTTATAAGTTTATTAAAACTTATCAACATCACATCAGTTATACATTGATAAAATATGGTATTAACATTATCATTATCATAATCTATTTGATTTAAATCCAGGTATTCACTAAAAATAAAGAACCGAACACTTTTTAATGTAATTCTACGAACCAAAATCATCACCAAAAATATAAGTTTTTAAAATCTAAATTTGAACTTTAATTTTAAACTATATGAAGCGTCTAAGGCTTTAAGTACCTATATGGTTAAGAGCTTAAGTTATATCAGTGAAGTGTGTTAGAAATTAATTGCGATAATTTGAAAGTGGTGCCGCCCGTCTGGGTATTTTTAAATTTTAATTGTTTCAAATGTCAAATTTACATAATAGTTGGCCACATAATATCCCTAAAATTGTCACACGTATTAGGGTCCTAAAATATTGTTATAATGCTCATAAGTGGGCTAATATTTATTCGATTCTGCCAAAATTGCCTACTATTTATTTATGTTTGTTTTTATTTATTTATGATCTTCACTTTTATTAAAAATTGATGACTAGAAGATAAATAATTCGGTGACTTTTTGTGTAATAATTAAATTGGTTACATAAATATCTAAATTGAATACGAAAATATGGGCATCATCTGAACAAACAACGAAATGCATCCTAATATTTTGTTGCTTACACATAAATTGAATTTAAAAATACAAACTAATATTCATATAATAATATGATAATATGCTAGCACTGAACAAAAATAAAATCAGCAAACCAAAATTTATGAAATTAAAAAAATGTATAAAAATAACAAAAATGATAGACTATTGTTTAAATAAAATATTGATAGATTCACAATTCACTAAATTATATTTAAACTGCAGGTATCAAGATTCAATATTTTATAAAATTAAAATTATGTAAAAGTAATAACTATAATAACCATTATTAACCCCCCCCCCCATCATCAGTATTTGAATTACTATTTATTATTATTATTTTATATTTCATTGTTTTTTTCTGGCATACTTTAAGTATAGTATTAATGTATATGTAGGTACATTTTTACAATATACTAATGTCCATGGGCACGAAATTAAAATGGCAAAATCGATCAAATCTTGTATAGCCGTTTTATAGGTATAATAATATTAACGATATTCTGACTTTTTTAAATAATAATTAACAATATTCATAAGAGTGTGTTTATATAGTTTTAGACAACATAAATCATAAATAGGTATGATATTTCGTATTATAGTGTATTGATATACCTACAGTCATGCAGGTACCTAATCAAATGTAGTAACTAGTAGGTAAGGTAGGTATAAATAAATAATAGGTATACCTATAGATTATATGTAGATCAAAATTATATAAAGTAAACTAACAATGCTATTATGTGCAACTGGAAAACCTGCAAAAACTACTCTCAACGTTTAAAATCAAATAGGTATAATATTATGACATAAAAAATTAAATTTGGAAATTTTAATTGATATATAAAATGGTTTTGAGACAATTTTTAGATAAATCGATGCATAATCTCTAAATATTTTTTTCTATAATTTATTGTAATGGGTTTTACTCTAAGATCACTTAAAAACGTAAAAAAATAATTAATAACTATAATTATAATATGAACTAAAATGGATGGTCACAAGCAAATCCATAGTTTTCAATTGATTTTTCAATTTTTCAAAAACATTTTTATAAAATGTTTGCCAAAAAATTCAGCAAGATCCGTTTAGTGCTATATATAGTCCATTAGGCTACTTTGTACTTTTCAACATATAAAACATTGTTTTCAGAAAATAAAATAGTAACTATGATTGGATACAATTTTAAACCCGTATAATATCATATTCGGTCATAGCGACCAAATATAACTGTGATAAAAAATATGTGTTGTTTACATTTAACGAGGAGTTAGGAATATAAGGTGTAAATCCACGGGTGTTTTTTATCACGCGCAAGGCCATACGGGATCAGCTAGGTATTACATAATATTATTAAAATAAAATATAATTATATAATATTATACTGTGACACTGTGTCACTGTATTATGGAAGCGCATTATGGCCTCACAACAGGACATCGCTTATTGTCTGTCAATTTAGATACGGGCTCGAGCATAATAAATATAACAATATTATACCTATATTTACTGAGGTAGCCTGCTCGCGCTGTAGTTTTTTATGTATTCGGTTTTTATGCGTTTAATGGAAAAATAGAAAATATAATTATTATTAAAAGCAATGTAATAATTTATCGAGGAACACTCACAATTTCAAAAACTATAAACGTTTATCAAAACATTTTTTTTTTCAAAAGAATTATATTTTTTATCGTTGTTGTTTTTAAGTTTTTATAGTACCTACCTATAGGCTATAAGTGTATTTTTTTTATTTCAGCTTAATATACTTGTTTTGGTTCCTGTTATTACAAAGTATTTTTCGGAGTCGGTTCCTACCTATTCCAATATATAACAATCAAATTTTGGACGAGTAGTTTATATGACGTGTTAGAATTATATAGACAGCGCTTAGAGAGAGAAACCAGTGGACGAGGTAGCCGAGAAAGAAAAACTATGCGTTTAGAACGTTACAATATTTTTGTCTATCGCTTTATCTTGTTCCCAATAATCTCATCGTGCAGAACCGTGGGTAAATTAGTGTGGTAAATTAGTTTATAAGTCTATATGGATAAAAATTTTTAATGTTCAGACTTCAGGGGACCGGAGTTAAATGGCACAAGTGCCTGCAAAATGTAGGTCCACTTCCTATACACTGCGCTTATTAGTTAGGTACCTACTAATTAACTACTCATCTGAAATTCGATTTTTATACTTATTATATTGAAATACTGACTATGTAATATTGATATTTAGAACCATATTTTAGTTCAAAAAAGTAAAAACTTAGAAAATGATAACAATAAAAACTAAAAAGTAGTAAAATATATTCTTTTAAAAATATTGTTTTTGTAACAACTTTCAGGAATGTAAAATAATATTTTCAAAAATGTTTGTATAGTTTACGAAAAAATGAACTTTTTACGGTAAATGAATCACAAACATTTTATAATACTGTTTTCGTTTATGTTGTACCTACAGGTATAAGTCAGGCGATTCGTGCCTATGGAATTTCGTATATATAGTATATATATATAGTACCTATATAATATCGTATATAGTAGTAAACTATAGTGCCCCTTCTACTCTCAAGCGGATGGGATCGCGGTCACGGCAGGTGACGCTGAAAAAATGTCTCAAAAAAAACTCGTTTTAATACACGTTTCAAAAATTCAAAGACGTTAAATATTTTCGAATTACCGGCAGTTGCACCGGCACAACCGGTGGTTCTAGCGTGCGTGCAGCATGGTCGGGTGGTGAGGTAGGTAGGGGGGGGCTCCGCTGACGCCAACAGGCAACATCACCGGTGGCGGCGCTGCAAATATTCTCGTTGGCAACGCAGCGCGCGGGGAGGAGGGAGGCGTTGGCGTCCCCACGGGCTGCTGTCATTGCTCAAAATCTCGTGTATCACGCATGCGCCCAGGGCTCTTGGTGCGCCGAGGCAAATTTACTGGCGTATTAGTGGCCACAGAGTGCGCGCGCGCGGCACCGCATTTTTGTCATCAAGCTTTCTTCGGCGTTCCTCACACACTGGTCAGTCGTTGTTGACAGCCGTTTCACTGGAGTCCTCTTTGCGTGTTCTCAACTCTTCGTTCCTCGTCGGCTTTCGTCCATCGTTCTCCAACTTGTCAACCGCGTTTGTGGTACCCACGTGTTTCGAAACGCGTTTGTCGGATAGGACGCGCTACCCAAGTCGGTGTTCGTGTCTGTGAACCTATCTCGTACATGTGTAATTTTCTATAAAC